AAATTGAATATTTGAAATATTTTTCATGATTAAAAATTATAAATTAAAATTATATTTTATTTTATGAAAAAAAAAAAAAAAAAAAAAAAAAAAAAAAAAAAAAAAGTATATTTTCTTTAGGAGCACCGTTTAGCTTCTCATGTACGAGAAAAGGGCGGTGCGGATTTGAAAGCCAAAACTTTGAGCAACAGTCATTTCAAAACCCGGGAAAATAAAGGGTTGTTCGCCTCTGGAATTACGGGATTTAGGGTTTTTCGGAGTGGAACCTTCAAGCCGAACAACTGCTAAAGATCAGTTATCATCGTGAAGTAAGCGAGAATCATCAGGTGCGGCGATCAATTTCTCCTTTTCTGTTCATATGTACAGTAGTAACACAACTTGACAAATGTGTATATATTTATGATTTTACAAATAGAGTTTTCTGTTATCCATCAAACCTGTTTGTAGACCCGACGTTTATCTGCTTTCTTGGTGACATACTGATGTTTACGTTCTATCATTGTAGTTGGTTTATGGTTCATGTGAAACTACTTTCTTTATTGCAAGGATTCACACATTGTTAATCTTCCTCGTGGGTTGATTAGCAGTCAAATTACGAGGGTTTGTGAGGGAATCTGTTGATTTCTTTTTGGGGATTGCTAAATTTGGGCACTGAAGCGTTTGTGTTGAATTGCAGGTTCGTTCACCATCTGGCACCATTTTGGAATTGATCTTGGTTAGGGAAAGTAGATACTCGGGTGTCTGCAATGGCATCCATAGATGAGCCGGTAGTGAAGGCCAATACCAGGGTTCTTCCTTCATGGGGTTCTTCATCTGTGTCAAGTAATACAGGTAAATACATTCGCCTATAAATTGAAATCTCAAAGCCACACAAAACCTTTCTGTTATTAACAAAACATTTCTCTGAATTCCAGGTTCCAGTGGATCAACTAAAAAGCCCCCTCCTAAAAAAGAATCTGCTTTGAATACTCAAAAGCCTCAGTCTAGTAAAGTTTATAAAAATTCAAGATGGTATACAGTCAGACACGACAATCACAAGAAAGCTTTTCTAAATCATGGTAAATGCGCTCCCTATAATATCTATATCAGTTTAAATAATAATTCTTACTGAAAATCACTATTATATTAGGTTCAGATTCTGATGATCAGTTATCTCAGAAAGATGCCAAAAGAATGCTTCCATCATACCTTCAGAATCCATCTTCTTCTAGTTCCAGGACAAGCCTTCAAAGACATGAAAGTTATCCTGTTCCTGCATCATCAAGTCAAACAAAGTTTGACTTTCACCCACAAGACAATTACAGTTGGGCCCACACTGATTTAGCAATGAAAAACAACCATGGCAGTAGGCTATTACCACCATCAATGAAGCCACCTGTGTCTATTCCTTCTACAACACATTATGCAGGGCAGTCTGGTCATTCTCTCCCTGGGATTGTTGAAGAAACAGTTGGTGATGAGAGGCTGATTTATCAAGTTGCACTACGGGTATTAGACTAACCTTAACCTGTCTGTTATTCTGTTATCTTCCCTTTTTTTATATTGTACCTTTTGAATGGCATATCATGCACTAAAATGGTATATTTGTTTTCTTATCAGGATCTTTATCAACCAACTATTGAAGCAACTTTACCTTATGGTCTTTTATCTATCCCTCTTTTCAAGCATCAGGTTTTGGATACACCTAATTACTATCTTTTAAGTTCTAACTTATGTGTATCTATACACTATACATATATGCAAAAGTTTAATTTTGGTTATTCCATGTGTTGTGATAATTTTCTTTCAGAAAATTGCATTGGCGTGGATGCTTGATAAGGAAAACAGTGTGGCTTGTTCTGGTGGAATTTTAGCTGATGATCAGGTTGCTAGCTTGTTATATAATCAACCTTTTATTTGATTTAATGCATATAACTTTTTGATATGCTTTTATATATTATTTCACAGGGACTTGGCAAGACTATTTCTGTTATTGCACTTATACAAATGCAGAGATTTTCATCAAAACCAAAGTTAGAGGATCCTTGTGGTTCAGAAGTTGAATCCTTGGATTTAGATGATGACAATGATAAAGGCATCATGGATGAAGACTCTGATGAAAAGAAGTTAATAACTAAGGTTAAGAGTTCAAGGTCAGAAGAGGAATTTCACAGTCGGAAGCCTCAAGGAGGTTCATTGGTGGTGTGTCCAGCAAGTGTGGTGCGACAATGGGCTCATGAATTGGATGAAAAAGTTGCAGATGAAGCTAAACTTGAAGTTTTAATCTATCATGGTTTAAACAGAACCCATGATCCTGATGAACTAGCAAAATATGATGTAGTTCTCACAACATATTCCATTGTTGCAAAAGAGGTACCAACCAAAGCTTTTGATGAAGATGATGATGATGATGAATTTGCTAATAAGAAAAGGAAACAGTCTCATGTTAGTAAGAAAGGAAAGAAGAATGGAAAAAAGGGTAAAAAAGGTAAGGGGGCTCTTGCAAAAGTGAATTGGTTTAGGGTGATATTAGATGAAGCTCAAACAATAAAAAATTTCAGTACACAGGTATCTAATTCATGCTGTGGACTTAGGGCAAAAAAGAGATGGTGCTTATCTGGCACACCTATACAAAACTCAATCGATGAACTTTTCAGTTATTTTAGATTCCTAAAATGTGAACCATATTCAAATTACAAATCTTTTTGCAACCTCATAAAGACCCCAATGTCCAAAAACACAAATCAAGGTAACAAGAAACTTCAAGCTGTGTTAAAGACAATAATGCTTCGAAGAACAAAAGACACTTTGATTAATGGAAAACCTATCATCAACTTACCTCCAAAAACAATAAAACTGACAGCTGTCGATTTCTCAAAAGAGGAACGCGCTTTTTACCTCAAACTAGAAGCAGAATCACGATCACAATACAAGGCATATCAAGCTGCTGGGACTGTGAGGCAAAATTACGCAAATATCCTTCTGATGCTTTTGCGCCTTAGGCAAGCCTGTGATCATCCTTTACTTGTGAAAGGATTTAGTTCAGAATCAATCAGTCAAGATTCTACAAAAGTAGCAAAGAATCTTCCAAAAGACACACAAGTTAAGCTTTTGAAGCTTTTGGAGACTTTGAATATTTGTCTTTTGTGCAGTGATCCACCTGAGGATGCTGTTGTTACTATATGTGGACATGTTTTCTGCCATGTGTGTATATCTGAGTATTTAACAGGGGATGAATTTGACAACACGTGCCCTTCATTTAATTGCAAAACTCAGATTGGTGATGATGTTGTGTTTAGCAAAGCTACCTTAAGGAGCTGTGTACATGATGATGGTGGTGATGATGATGATGATGATAATAGAATTGATGATGAGAGTTGTTTGGTTTTTGAGAATGATTATGCTTCTTCCAAGATCAAAGCGACTCTGGAGATCATTCAGACTCATTGCAGTTTATCAAATGATTTGCAGCAGCCGATAAAAGCGATTGTATTCTCTCAGTGGACAAGAATGTTGGATTTGGTGGAAGCATCGCTGAGTCAGCATTGTATAGAATACAGGAGGCTTGATGGATCAATGTCTCTAGTGTCAAGGGATATGGCAGTTAAAGAGTTCAACACTGATCCTGAGGTGATTGTGATGCTGATGTCATTGAAAGCCGGGAATGTTGGGCTAAACATGGTTGCAGCATCTCATGTGATTCTTTTGGATCTTTGGTGGAATCCGGCTACTGAAGATCAAGCTATTGATCGAGCTCATAGAATTGGTCAAACTCGTCCTGTTACTGTTTCAAGATTGACTATTAAGGATACAGTTGAGGACAGGATTCTTGCACTCCAGGTATATTATAATTTATATTATAGTAGGGTTATCACTGAATATGGGAAAGAAACTTATCAAGTTGCCAACAAACGCATTTTATTTTTCAAAAGAGTAACCAACTCATGTTTTCTGTATGTTTACCTTCTATCACAAGTTGAAGTGTTGAATGGGTCATCATCGTTTCCGATCTTTTGGCTCAAATTTTAAGTTTTGTTACGATTTTTGGTCAGAACATTAAGTTTTATTACGAATTCATCCCAAATTTAGTTTAATTTACAAATTTATTTGTGTACAAGTAAAGATTTTTTTTTTCTATATATTTTTTACAACATTTTAAGAACATTTCATAGATTTTTTATAACATTTAAAAAAGAAAACTTTTGTTAAAGATAAGTCATATGAAAGTGTAAAAAAAGTTATAAAAAATGTAAAGCAAGTTTAAATGTTGGATTTTAAAAATTGTAAAAAGGGCTTATAAACTTTTAGTTAACATGTATAATATAGTTTATTACAAGTAGTAAATTTTTCTATAAAAAGTTGCAAAAATATTGTAATTATTTTTTCTTCAAAATCTGTAAAAAATTAAGAAAACAAATCGTAAAAAAGATTGTAGTTTTTTTTTTACAAAAGTTGTAGAAAAATAAATTTGTAAATTAAACCAAAATTTGGGATGAATTTAGTTAACATGTTCGGACCAAATTCTTAATAAAATTTAAAATCTGGGCCAAAAGTGTAAAATTGGAAAGAAGGGTGACCTATTCAAGTCTAGAACAATTGGTATTGAGTTGAGCTTGCTTTAAACCAGAATGATAAATGAATCATACAACAAAAGCACCTGAGTGTGGTGGTGATGTGAATTATTTATGCAGGAAGAAAAGAGGAAAATGATTTCTTCAGCTTTTGGTGAGGATCAAAGTGGAAGCTCAGGGCCTCGACTAACTGCACAAGATCTTAAATATCTGTTTATGGGTTCTCATTAACTTTCTAATTATCTAGTTATCTAATATCTACCTCCTGTCAGTGGCTGTTTATTTTGGCCATAAGGGAGGAGGGAGTCATTCCCTCCGAACCCACTGCCACATCACTTTTTCTCTTTTGTTTTTCTTCATATTT